GTTGTGAGGCTAGATAGTTCTGCAGCGGTTTAATATTCCGACCAGACTCATCACATAGGTTGCCAGCGGGCTCCCACGTAGCTTCGCTGCTGGGGTAACCCTTCCAATGCACCAGGAAGTGGTGCTCACCACTGCGGTGTCGGTGATTCAAAACGGCTTCGACAACATAGCGTGTGTGTCCATCTAGATCTGTGAAGGGCGGAGGCGGGGGTTGGTGTCTTCCAGGAATCGTGTTCTCTTCGTAGCGTTTAAGAGCAGTGACATTAAACACGGGATGGCAGCGAAGTTCACGGGGTAGTTCCAAGCGAAAAGCATTCGCTCCAATCTTAGCCTGGATACGATACGGACCAAACCACTTGGGTTGCAACTTCCGAGAGGGCTGGCCACGAGCTTCCGGGTCAGTAGAAAGTCTCTGTAGACAAGAACGCTATCACCAACCTTCAAATCACTGGGCGTTCTCGTCTGGTCTGCGTATAGAGCTTGCCTTGCCTCGGCGTCGAGCATTGCATCTCGAGCTATCCTTAGTGCGGCTTCCTGCTCATGAAGCCAATCGACCGAATCACTCCTTTCCCCTCCCGTAAGAATGAATTCGGGCGGGGACTTAGGGTCAAACCCATAGTTCAGATAGAACGGTGTATTAGCTACAGATGACTGTTGTGAACTATTTATTGCAAACTCGCAGAGTGGTAGAAGCGAATCCCAATTGTCCTGTCTCAAGTTCACAAATGCTCTTAAAACATCTCCCACTTGCCGGTTAACTCTCTCTGTCAAACCATCCGTTTGAGGGTGGTTAGCAGTGCTGAATGCCAATTTAGTTCCTAGCTGAGAGAATACTTCTTTGAAAAAAGCTGCAGTGAATCGTGGATCGCGATCGGAAACAATGGTCGAGCTCAGCCCGTGCAGACGAAACACGTTTTGAATGTACAGTTGAGCGCTGCCCTTAGCATCAATCTTCGAGTTTGTTGGAACAAGATGTACGCATTTCGTAAGTCGGTCCACAAAGGTGTAAATTGCGTCGAAGCCACGAGAAGTAAGGGGCAATCCAACAATAAAATCCATTGAGATATCCTGCCAAGGACTATTAGGTATTGGAAGTGACTGGAGAAGCCCTGTTCGTGGCTGACCTCCCTTCGTTCGCTGGCAGAGATCACAGGTTTTGACAAATCTCTTGATATCGAGACCCATTCGGGGCCAGTAGAAAAAACGTGCTAGGCGGAAGTACGTTCGATCACGACCCGGGTGGCCAGCCGTTGCACACTCATGGTGTTCTTGAATGAGCTTTAACCGGACACCGCACTGTGGTATGCACAACCGGTTATTGGGGGATGCCTTGAGGTACAAGCGATCAGTGGATTCGTCCCAATAATAGCGATCATGCAAATTATCTCGGAGAGAATGCTTCAATCTTTCTATGATGGGAGTTAGCTCTTTGTCTCTCTGGTAGGCATCTGATATTGTATTGGACACGTCATCATTCATTGCTAAAGCATACTCAATAGCATTCAAACGTGGTACTGCATTCTCCACGAGGTTACTCTCATGGAGATCTGGGCGACGCGAAAGGGGATCTGCAGGGTTCTCTCTGCCGGGTCTGTGACGGACTGACAGTCTGTGTAGTCATAGTCAGCTAGGAATTCAACCCATCGCGCCTCTCTCTTTGTAATGCTTGGTTTTGTTTTCAGATAAACTACCGCCATGTTGTCTGTAATGACCTCAAAGTGTTGAAAGAGGTAGATGCGCCAGGTCTTTAGCGCAAACACTACGGCCAATGTTTCTCTTTCTGTAGCTGTATAATTCTGTTCAGCAGCAGACAATTTTCGGCTAGCATAAGCCACTGGATGCCAGGCATCTTCCTCTAGTTCTTGGAGAAGAACACATCCCAAGGCGAAATCGCTTGCATCTGTTACCACTCTGAATGGTCGGTTCACATCAGCCAGCCGCAATAGGGGCGCATTCAACAAGGCATGCTTTAGCGATTCAATGGCATGTTGCCGAGAGCTGTTCCACTCGAATCGTGCATGTTTTCCCGTTATCTCCTCTAAGTTCTTAGAGAGCGATGAGTATTGATCTATGAATCGCCTAAAATAATTCGTAAATCCAAGAAATTGCCTCACCTCTGTGACGGAAGTCGGAGCGGGCCAGACCTTTACTGCGGCAATCTTGTCTGGGTCAGGGGCGATGTGCAGTCCATCGATGCAATGTCCCAGGAACCGCACACTCTCCACGCCAAATTCACATTTTGACCGTTTGCAAAATAACTGGTTGTCCCGGAGCACGCTCAATACCGACCGGACATGCTGCATATGCTCCGACCACGTTTTGCTGAAGATGAGTATGTCATCTAGGAACACGACTACGAACTCCCTCAGAT